GATGATAAATTTCTGTATAAAAAAATAACTGGAAATAGAAAAAATCATAAATAAATCTTCGCCAACCTCCATTAGAGTCAAGGTCTTTAGGCACCTAAAGAAGAAGAATAATGTGTAATCTGTATTTTTTTTCAGAGTATCCATTAGTTCAAAATCTCTGGATCAGTGAAAGTGATTTTTTCTATTTCGAAAGAAAAAATCTGCTATAATATCGCCCTTCGATAAAGTATTTAGAAATTGGTGGATCATCGTAAGAACAGATTTTTTTACTACGAGCCCTAACAACCGAATGTTCGGACAAACGAATATTTATTGAAAAAGTTTATCTTCACAACTTTGCTTATTAAACCAAAGAACGAGATCAACAATACATTAAATTCTACCATTAATAACAAAATATTGAAAGGGTTCGGTTTCTATAAGAGTAAATTTGGTGAATTATGGGATATTTTCGACCCTGACTTATGTAAATCCTTGCCAGACAGGATTGCCGCGGTTGTAAAGACGCATGACGATGCAACCCCATATTAAAATAGTACCTTCTTGAATTGCCACGATGTTATGCAACATTTTCGTTTATTTTGCCGCTAACGCTGCAATTCGAAATTTATAGATACCGAGGCATTTCAATCTTTTGTTATTAATGATGGAGTTTAATGCATTATTGATCTCGTTTTTTGGTTCAATAACAAAGATCGTGAAGGTGAACGATTTTAATAAATTTTCGTTTGTCCGAACATTTAGTTGTTAGGGCTCATATAGAAGTGAATTGTATAAACAATTGGCGGTTGTCCATGTACAAGCAGTTTGAATTTTAATAACAAAAAAAACTTGTTATTAAAAAGCAGGTATAAGATGTATACTTTTAACAACTTATCACGCTTGATATATTAAATTTCGAAAAAATTGTTCATTGTCATCATTTTTATTCAGATGGAACTTTATACCCGATAATAAACTGTTTATTCTGCGATTTCCTGCTACTACAGGAAATTATTTCAATAACGAATTAATAATTCATACTACTAATTCATTGTTAATTAGAATATTCAGAGAGTAAGCATTATTTTAAAAGTTTTCAATAAAAACTTTTCTTTTTTTTTTTCAAATTCACACATATACATAAATTTGTAAAACACCGTGAATTCTAAGTAGTAAGAAATATTTAAATTGCAGTTTTGAACGAAACTGTTTCGTATTGGGACAATATATTAAATCAAAATTCAGTAAAATTCATTTATACTCTCAATCTATGGGATGGCTCATATTGTTATTGAATAGGTTTCAGGACTTTTGAAAATCTGTACTACCATGTAGATCTTCAGGAGCCAATTATTGATCCCAAAGAACAGAGTCGTTGATAGCCTTATTATATGTGCATATAAGGATGTCGCAATATAAGTCATAACTTCCAAAATCGAGTACTGTTCTATGTTTATACAACAATATTTTTATAGGTATTACTACTTTTTGAACAGTGAATAACGTTTAATCAATAATATATTGCAATACTGTTAAATTAATGTTGTTGCTAAAACTAGACAAAATCTGATCAAAATTATCATTTTGGAAGTTCATTCGTTTCAGAAGTAATCACATACGAGTCATACGGGCACATGCCAGCTGACGAAGAGCACCTATCCCATAGGAAAAATAAATAATGACCAAATATGTTAAAGTTAAGAGAACAGGTTAGCTTTCCTTGTGTACCAACGCTAAATGCTTTGAAATACAAGAACCGTGGCTGCAAACTTTGCTAACAACATGGTATGTATTTCCGTCGCCGGTAAAGAAGATTCTCTGCTTACATTGTTTGTACTTACTATTTAACAAACTATTGCAATAAGGTCAAAATCTGATAAAACATAATCACTTAGATAACAAAATGACCTATAAAACACTATTAGTCATACGAGAAGCGATCATTAAGTTCCAGAACTTATTGAATTGCAGAGCATAGTCAGGTTAGTAGTATTGTTTAGCCTAAACAGTTCATTATTTTCGAGAGTAAATTACGTTTTGGGTTAAATCTTTGAATCGATCATGGGTCATAATTAATCCAGGTTTAGAGAATGTCGAGTGTTTTTAGCATACAACTAACCTTACAGAATGTCAATAACTTCGAATAATGGAGGACATCCTGAATTCTGCGTTGCTCATTTGAAGAAAGGACAACGTTGAAAGTGCATTCAATTGCATGAGAAAAATACTCTGTAAAATGAGACCCAATGGGCAATTACTTATCTCTTCGATGTTACGTGTTCTCTTTCCTCTTATACGCCGCTGAAGCCTAGAGTTTACTCATGTAATAATGATATCTTAGACATAGACCATCAATAATGAAATAATCTTCAAGCACAGAATTCAAACTTCCCAAGAATCAATTGTTTTTGATATCTTCAAACCTTAAAAAATTTGCGTGAAGCTGTGCAAGGGAAGAGACCGGTGCTGTGACGTAGTGAAGACTGGGTGCGGCACCTGTACTTCAACAATTCATGTACGTTGTTAAATGTCGATTTCTGCACAAGTTTCGCTATTCGCCAGTTCTAACCTCTGCTGATTTTCTCGTGTTTTTTTTAACTCAAGAGATCTTTGAACAGACACAAATTTGACTCGACTAAAAATGGTACAGAAAAATCGTTCAGCTGAAGAACATTCAGCAATAAGATCGTCTGTTTAGAGGAGCAACTTATGACCACTACATCCAAAATGCACTACTATACGAATCTAGACCGAACGGCAAACTCAAGATGGTGATGTAAGATATACGGTTAATGAGATAAGAAGGATATGTAAGACTATGAAAAATGGAAAAGCTCCTGGGCCGGGAATCATCCCTGCACAGCTAATCAAATACGGACTAGAATCGTTATACTATCATCTCGCCCAACTATGTCATTTATGCATTAACAGAACCGAAATAGGTACGTGTATAGCGGAAACTATGTATAATTTCGACAATGCAAACTACCGTGGTTTCTCGGTTACAGATTATATGGAAAAATCCTTAAAAATCGGGTTAAAGGGGGTATAAAAATATGGAAGCCGAAGAACAGGCAGGATTTGTAGCAGGAAGTTCCACGACAGAACACCTTTTCTGGTGAACAACACAAGTTGTTGAGAAAAAGACATCGTTTATTCAAAAAGTTAATTTGGCTCTTTGTGAACTAAAATGGCATACCACACTGTTCCACACCAAAAACTGTGAAAGGAATTTGAAGAACCCAATGTAATTATTGAGATAATTAAAGCAATTAAAAACCTATATCTCCATACTAAGGCTAAAATAAAAATTAGCGATCGAATAACGCTGGGTTTCACAGTTACAAAATACTTAAAACAAGCAACTGCCTGTCCCCCACATTGTTCAAAATATACCTAAGTAGATAAGCAATGTATGTCCAAGTCCAATTGAAAATTAACATGGGAAATCGCCAACATCCAAAATATCAAATTGGTTGCAAAGTCGATTCAATCCAAAGTTAGCAACAACTCAGCGAAGTTGATGTGTCAGCGTAAAATCAACAAGATACTAACTTCACGCTGAACCGACGTACCAATTATTGCTAACTTTGTGCTAAGTCAAAGCTGTCTTGTCGCTAGTTTCATGTTGATTTGACGCTGACACAGTTGCATAACATCAAGTCCGTTGAGTTGACGTTGAATTGTCGCTAACTTTGGATTGAGTCGTCGTTGCGACCAATTTGGTATTTTGGACCTTGGAGACTTTCCACGTTAATTTCCATAAGAGTTGGGCTCGGATATACATTGCTTATCTAATTACCTAGAAGGGGTCTTAAGACCATGGGAGAGGAAATACCATGTGATGGGAATAATAGATAATCAGATAGTGTTGGCGCAAGAATATTATGATCTACAGTATATGGAGAATCTCTAGTATCTCCATACTGGAGAACAGCAGTACATATAGCTAAAAGATGAACACCGAATTAAATAATATGAGAAATATAATTACCTAGGTTTTGCAAATAACGGTACATTAGACTATAGACTAGAAACTGTAAGGCATAGAGTTGGAGAACTCTCTCACAACTAAATAGTATTCTATGGGACCAAACGATATCCCAGGACAACAAAAGAAGAATTTACAAAACCATAATTAAAATCATAATTACGTATGGATCAGAAATAGCAAATAAAGACTAGAACAGAAAAAGCTTAACATAAACGAAATGGATTTCTGGCGTCGTCCAGCTGGAAAGTAAAGGCGTGAGAGAGAGAGAGAAAGTAACGAATGACCATAAGAGATATGTAGCGACAAAAAGATGCGGGAGAGAAATCCGGAAGAAGATATGGACCAATGGAGACTAGGGCTAGGACTAGGAATGAAAAGGCGACGTAGGATGCTATGAACCGAGAATAATAAGATCTCCCAAGATTCTTTCAGTAGTGAAAACAGCGTTTGAAGAAGTAAAACGTAACGAAAGAGACAACAGATCGACAAAAATTGGCATTGCAAGTTAATAACTAAATGTTAACAAGTAAGGAGGGACGGAGAAAAGTGATGACTGTTGATTTCTAGTATTACCGTTGGCAGACAAGGAACTTAATTTTAAATTAAATTAACAGTGAAAATACAGTTAAATCGACGATGGTGTTTGTTCACTTCTTTAATATAACTTTAAAGAAGGGAATAAAACGCTGTGTCATTGTTTTTCATCATGAATTTTGATATAAGTGGCAGTATTAATAAACGTACCATTACTATTATTTTATGCAATAACTGTATTGCGACACTCTGTTCGTTTTATTAAATATAAAAATCACAGATTTTCATTTTGGCTTAAAACATTCTTTCAATTGCATGAATTTTGATTTGATCACGGACCCAATATACTATAAGTTACACCTTGTGATGCAGTGTACATAGCAAAAAAAATTATATAAACACTATTACACTGAAGATCCATACATATTGTTTGCATCAACAAAATTAATACAAACAGAAAAATCTAGATACATATACCTATTGGACAAATATGTTCTCTACGTATTTATTGTATTTGAATAAACTTTGAAAAAATAAACATAAAAACTACACCATGCAATTTGTTTGGTGCAATATGAAAAATAAATATCACTGAAAAAATTAATTGTTGCAAATTTAACACACATTTCTTGGAGGGAAAGTTTCTTTAGACAATATTTGTTTCCTTGTCCAAGTTTAATAGATGATCAACCGCTCAAAAAGACCCGTCAAAAATGAAAAAATTCTTAAATTTAGAAACAAAAATCGTATTTTTCTTGGGTGGATCATCTATTAGCAACAACATAATGATAATTAAATGAACCGTTTATGGCATGCATTCCATAATGGCAATTTTGTCAAATTTAAAATTGAGCCAAGAGGGTGCACAAAACTGAGTTTCGAAATTATCGTCGTCAGTGAACAACTGTCTTTTCAAAAGGTGCGGTTTCTTTTCTTGACGTTTTTTGATATGCCTGACATCGTCTGTATCCGCCTTATGCATGGATTTGGTCCTGCAATATAAAATGCATAATTTATTTCTAATTCAGAAGTTTACTATATCTAAATATGTTGTAACATTTTACCTGTATAGTGTATTGATCTGTAAAAACTACGATCGAACATTTCATTTTTATAACTTTGATATTTAGATATGACGATTTTCTTCCAAGATAAACGATAGAATTTAAATTTATCTATTTGATATGTGGTATTTAAAAAAATATGCCACATAATATGTTATCAATATGTATATATATATATATATATATATATATATATATATATATATATATATATATATATATATATATATATATATAGCGAGTGTTTGCAACTTTAATTTTGTCGCTTCTCGCATCCCAATTGCCATAATTTCTTATCGGCCCAGTCTCCTTCTTCAAGACCTCTATTTTCCATTTCTATATGAATATTGGATATCCATTTCTTTCTTGGCCTTCCCCTTTTATTTCTCTGTGTAGGTCTCCAGTTCCAAACCTTTCGTGGTATCTTTTCTTCGTTCATCTGTCTTAGGTGTCTATACCATTTTAATTGTTTTTCGGCTATCGTATCCATTATTGTGTTCTTTACTTTCATTCTCTCTCTTATGTTTTCATTTCTTATGTGGTCAAACAAAGTTAACCCGGAACATCTTCTCCAGTACATCATTTCCGTTGAGAGGAGTTTTTGTGACATATTATTGTTAAAGACCCACACTTCTGACCCATACGTCAGCACCGGCTGAATCATAGCCTGACATATATTTTTCTTTGATTTCTTAGTTAAAGTTTTATTCCACAGGATCGGATGTAGTGTTTTTATCATGTTTTTTCCTTTTCCTATTTTTCTTTTTATATCTTTGTTGTCTCTCCCGTCTTCGCTTAGTGTAACTCCGAGATATTCGTACTGATCAACGTTTTTAATTAATCCGCTTTCTGTTTCCATGTCTTGACCGATGCCTCCTATATTCATGTATTGTGTCTTTTCGGTATTAACCTCTAATCCCCATTTTTTGAATTCGTCTATTAGTTTGTTTATCATGTACGTCATATCTTGTAGGTCCTCGGCAAGAACTACCTGGTCGTCTGCGAAGAGGATTGTATATATAGGAGTGTCATTTACCCATATGCCCATTGGGCTGCATTTTCTCATCCAATGTTTTAAAGCATTACCAAGATATATTTTAAATAGGGTTGGGGAGAGGCAAGAGCCCTGTTTGACACCCTTTGTTTGGGTGAAACCCTTGGAAATTTGGTTTCCAACCTTAATATACGCTTGGTTATCTTGATATAGCTTTTTCACGGCATTTATGTATACTGCATTTATACCTGCGTTTTCCAATGTTGTCCATAGTCTCTGCAGTGGTACGGAGTCAAACGCTTTACGGAGATCTATAAAAGTGGCATGAAGTTCTAGTCCTCTTGCTAATCTCTTTTCCGTTAGGTGTTTGAGAGTAAATACATTGTCGACACAAGATCTCCCTGGTCGGAATCCACTTTGTTCTTCGATCTCTGTGGCTTCTTTTTCTATTCTGGCTTTCAGAACTCTTTCATACAGTTTGCCAGTGGATGACGTAATGCTGATACCTCGGTAATTACTGCAGTCATTCCTGTTTCCCTTTTTGTAGATGGAGTTTATGTACGAGACTTTCCAATCTCTTGGGATACTTTCTCCTTGTAGGCACTTGTTAAACATTTTACAAAGCTGCCACAGCAATAACTAATGTTATTGCAGTGGCATGTTTGAATAACTCGATAGGTAAATCACCTGGCCCAGGAGCTTTATTATTTTTCATTTTTTGTAATGCGTTTTTTATTTCTTCTACGGTAATCATGGCCACTTCCTTTAACCCCGTTTCAACTCTATCTATCTGTGTGTCTAGAAACTGTGTACGTTGTTCATTTAATAGATTTTCATAATAATTTTTCCATCTTTCTATGTGTATGGGGTTTATTTTTTTTGTTTCGTTTGTATTTTTTCTAAGACTGTTGATAGTTTTCCAAGCTTGTCTGGACCTAGATCCTCCTACCATTGAGCTTATTTCTGCACACTTGTTGTCCCAGGTTATGTTTTTTGTTTTGTTAATTTCCTTTTTTACTATACATTTTTATCTGTTATAGTTCTTTCGGTCTTCCTCATCTTTTGTCGCTAACCATTTGAGATACAGTTTTTTCTTTTCTTCTACCAGTTCTAATAAACCTTCTGTCCACCAATAATTTCTATGTTTTACTTTTTCTTTCGTACCTAGAGCTTCTAATGCTGCTTCATGAATTTTGATTTTCAAAGTCTCATACATTTCTTCCGCTGTTCCGTTTATTTCTTCGTCTAATTTTTGTGCCAAACGTAGTTTATAAAGAAAACTTGTGGACTCATTTTTTAAGCTGTCTATGTTATACAGCCGTGAGGATTCTTTGTTTGTCTGTTCTTGGGATTTATTTTGTTTAATATATCTTACTTCCACGGGTGCCTTTACTAGTAGGTGATCCGATCCACATTCTGCCCCTGTCCAAACTTTTACATCGTAGGGTCTTAAAGATGTCTCTTGTTTAACCACTATATAGTCTATAATTGACTGCAGTTTTCTTGTCTTTTGAGTCCATGTATATTTATTTATGTCTCTATGTTTGTAAAATCCATTCAGTATTTTTAACGAATGTTGTTCGCATACCTCCAACCATCTTGTTCCGTTCTCATTTACTACATCTTCTCCGTGTTATTGTCTCGTGTTGTGTCCAATTATTTTGTTGTCAAGAGCTTTACCTACTCTTCCGTTCAGGTCCCCTAGCAGGACTATTTCTTGCCTTTTTTTATTTTATTTAACTCTTCTGAGAGTTTGTCGAAGAACATGTCTTTAGTGTTTGTATCTGAGTCGTCCGTGGGTGCATAGATGCCAATTATTTTTATGTCTCTCCCCTTTGTTGTAAGGTCTACTGTTATAATTCTTTCATCTATCGGGTTCCAGTTGGTAATACATCTTTCCATGTTTTTTCTTATCACGACCGCTACTCCAGCTTTGGCTCTTTTTGATTTTTCTACTCCGCTCCAGAAGTATATATAATCGTCTTTGTAGTGGTTCACCTGTCCTTTCTTTTTTGTTTCGCTGAGTACTGCGATGTCAATTCGGTATGTACTGAGTTCCTTAAATACTTGGTCTTCTTTTGTATTCAGTCCTTGTATGTTCCAACATCCAAAATTCGTTAGTCTTTTTCTTTGCCTATGTCGTTTTCCGTTGAAGCCATCCGAAGCAATATTTCTTTTACGCAGGACGGGGAGCTAACCTACCGCTGTAACCCTCCTCCTTCATCCGGGCTTGGGACCGGCACTGGCATTTACTGAGCTACTCAATCCACCCAATATCTACCAGAGGCGGAGTTATCAATACGTAATATTGATAAATAAAAGGGATATAATGCATAATTATTTCGTTTTATTTGGATCTACTCTGTATGAGTACAAGCAACCAATTCGCTAAGGATTTCTGCTTAGTTGAAGAGACATCTCCGCGGCGGAGGTCGGCAATCGTCATAGCTATTCGGACTTTTGAGACGGCTGCTCTGAAAAGTTCATTTGATGTACATCCGTACCACTCTCTCAAGTTGCGCAGCCATGACATTCTACGCCTCACTATGCTTCTCTTTCCTTGTATATTTCTCTGCATAATCAATTGGAGCAGGGTGTATTTCTCTCCACGTATAATATGTCTGAGATATTCTAATTTTCTTGTTTTACTGTGTTTAAAATTTCTATTTCTTTATTCATTCTTCCAAGAACTTCTTTGTTTGTGACGTGTTCTGTCCACGATATGTTTAATATTCTTCTGTACATCCACAGCTCGAATGATTCCAGTTTTTTCATTGATGTCGCATTCAAGGTCCAAGATGCCATTCCATAAAATAAAGTCGAAAAAACATAGCACCTCGCCAACCTAACTCTTAGTTCCAGTTTTAAATCCCTGGTATTTACATAGCACTCTTCTCATTTTGTTGAAATTTGCTCTAGCCTTTTCTATTCTTATTTTGATCTCCTGATTGTAATCATTTGTGGAGTTAATCATTGTTCCCAGATACACATACTTGTCCACTTGTTCGACGTTGGTTCCGTTTATTAAAAGATTCTCGTTATTTCTTTGAGTTTTCGATATTCTCATAAATTTCGTCTTCTTGACATTCATTGTTTAGACTATTTCTTTTCCATACTCTGCTATTCTAGTCTCTGAAGATCTTCAACGTTTTCGGCTAAGATCACAGTGTCGTCTGCATATCTAATGTATAAAAGCGTATCCAAAGTGCGCTCGACCTAACGGCTAACCCGCTACGGTTGTTACACACTGAAAGTTACCAACCCATATACAATAATTTTTACAGCTGATCAGTTGCATCGTTGCTTATTTACCTCAAACTCGTGTGAATTCACGGAATAGAGGAATATCGCAGTATTGATAACTCAATTTGTGAAAAATTCCTTGTGTCATGTCAGATGAAAAAAAGTTCTTTAGTTTTACTTTGTCACGGTTATTTTTATTTCTACGGCGAACTAATTAAATTCACATAATGTACTAACGTATATGAGAACATACAAAATTAGTACTTTAAAAGTTGATGTAATTTAACATATATATATATATATATATATATATATATATATATATATATATATATATATATCTGTACCATTTGGTCAGAAGGTGCTAACTGCATATTTAGCCATTTTGTGTTTATTGTACTCAAATAATCAAAACAACATTCTTTATCGTTTAAGCAGACGCTGCTAACTGTAGGACGAATATAATTTGATTGACAACGTTGGTTATTTAATGATATATGCATATTTTTTTGTTTATGTGTGATCAGATTATCATAAGTATTCTTGTCACACAATGATGAAAATACATTTTTCATTTTTTATGGTCAAATAGTGATAAGTGTTTATATCAGATAATGACTAAATAAGTGTTAATTTTATTACTGAAGTCAAAAAATGTTAAGTGTTTATATCATCACATGACCAAATTGAC